GTATATGTGTTTTAAGAGAATGGGATTTGAGACAGGATTTCACTCTGTAGCCCAGGCTGGTCTAGAGCTCCTGCCTCAGGTGTTGAGATTAACAATCATGAGCTCACCATGCCTGGCTTGGACACCTCTTCAAGTGACATTATTTTCTTTGGGACAATAAAGTGGATTTTAATCAGTAAAGAATGAAAAAGTTTAATCTCACCGACAGCTTACTTCTTTCTGCAGGACACAGAAGAGCTAGAAAAGGACATTAGAGAAGAACTTCCCATGAATACCTCCAAAGCCCGTCCAAAACAGGAGAGAGGCTTTTCCCTGAAGACCATGAGCACTAGTGACCCAGATAAAGCACTGGGCAAAAATAGCCAGGTGATTTTTTTAAAGAATAATAGTTTTCTTGAAGTATTACGCAAGCACAAACCATTCCGAGTAGTGTGGTCAAATGCCCTACTGTGTAAAGCACTCCCACCTGTCACTGGGTGCTCATCAATGCTATCAGATTGGTTGTTACACTGCATTAATGCTTGTGTGCAGATAACCCTTTTAGTTTACACAGTAATAGCTACCAAGCACACAAGTCTGTTTATGATTAAAACGAAACTGTATGTGTGCTTCTCCTTTAAGTGAAAAAGATTTTCAACTTTTGAGTTGGAAGAAAGAAAAACAGCCAAACCAGATGTTGGTCGCCTACATCTTTGATTCCAGCACTGGGGAGGCAGAGGCAGGTGGATCTCTGAGTTCAAGGCCAGCCTGGTCTCCAGAGTGAGTTCCAGGACAGCCTCCAAAGCAGTGCTGAGAAAGCCTGTCCTTGAAAAACCAAAAAGAAAAAAAGAAAAAAGAAAAGCAATGTATCACAGAGGTGACAACACCTTTGACCCCAGCACTTAGGAGGCAGAGGCAGTGGTCTCTGAATTGATGTTCAGCCAGGGCTATAACAAAAACATAAACGTAGGTCTTGTACTACCTACTGTGCTTTTTCCTTGTGAACATCTAGGCTTGTAAAGGATAGAAGACCTAAGAGAAAGTGCTTTTACCAGCTGCATTTACACAAAGTACACACCTTAATATGACCAGGTCGGGTTCCCAATGTTTGTTTTAAAATTTGGTGCATTTTTTGAAGTTTTGTTACTGTTTTGCTTCAGTTTAGTTTTGCTTTGTTATTGTTTGGGATAAGGTTTCATAACAGCTCTGGCTAGCCTCAAACTCACTGTCTGCCAAAATTGGCATAAATTCCTGATCCTCCTGCCTCCATGTTCCAAGTGCTGGGATTTTAGGCGTGTGCCTCTGTAGCTGACAGTGACATTTTTTAATCATGTGCTTTCTATGGAAATACTGATGGTCAGAAGAGACTCGTTTCTGAAAGGGCTGTATCAGTGACATGGAACAAAAGCCTGATTCTCACAGGGTAACTTGTGTGTGGTGGTTTGAATACACCCTCCTCCTGCCCCCAGAGGCTCATATACTTGGATACTTTAGTTGTGGAGTAGTGGGACTCTTTGACAGGATTAGAATGATGAGGAGGTGTGGTCTTATTGAAGAAAGTGAGTCACTGGGGGTGGGGTCTGAGGTTTCAGATGCCCATGCTAGATCCAGTCTGTCTTGGCTGTGGATCAGGATGTAGCTGCTGCTCCGCTGCCACGCTTCCTACCACGATGACTCTGAAACCATTAAATGGTTTCTTTTCATAGGTGTCTTGGGCTGGGGCAGGTAGCCCAAGTTGGTAGAGGTTATTTTAAAAAGCTTCCCCCCAAAACTTATCTTTTGGTAATTTGTGTTTTTGTTTTTTGTTTTTCGAGACAGGGTTTCTCCGTGGCTTTGGAGGCTGCCCTGTCACTCACTCTGTAGACCAGGCTGGTCTCGAACTCATAAAGATCCGACTGCCTCTGCCTCCCGTGTACTGGGATTATTTATCGATTTTATCTCAGTATAGTCAGTTGTAGGTGATGCCTTGTTTAGTTGTGCCACTAGAGGGCAGAAATGAGTTACAGTGCTACCTATAAACTAGTTAGAAACCATTTTAATTTTGCTTGCTGCTAGTCTCTGGATATTGCTATAATATACTTATTATTACATGAAATTTATACAAGATTCTGAGATGATTTTATTCCAAAATAGCCTATCAAGACTCTTCCACCTGCTATCTCTACCGAGCCATCTGTCACCTTATCACATGGTGACTCTGACAAGAGCTCTTCCCAAGTGCCACCGATGTTACAAGACACAGACAAAACCAAGTCGAACGCTAAGCAAAACAGTGTGCCTCCCTCGCAGAGTAAGTGCTTTGTTTGTCGTCTTGCATTTTTTCTTAGGCCGTGTGGGGTTCTGATCTTAGGTTTCTGGTAGGAAAGTAGAGTTGAGTTGTGATGGCCAGGCTGGTAGGGTCACATGAGCAGTGACAATAATGAGAAGCTTGCGTGGTTTGCCTGCACATGTTCTGGCTTTCCTGCTCTTCCCCAGCTGTCAGGGCGGGAGACAGTTGCCTGTAAGCAGCTACAGTTAATGTCTTGGCTTGGAAAGACGGGAGGCAGATAATAGCTAACTGAAAAGGACCAAGACTGGAAAACTTAAAACATAAAATTTGGGCATTTAGAACTTTTTCGTAGTTGTTACTTTTATATTATTGATCCATACTGAGTGTCCTCCTTATATTTTTCTCTCCTCAAACCCCCCCCCTCTTTTTTTTTTCTTTTAGCCAAGTCTGAACCTAACTGGGAATCTCCAAAACAAATAAAAAAGAAGAAAAAAGCCAGACGGGAAACGTGAATTTTTTTTTCCTGAATTGGACATGTGTTTACAAACACTGTCTTGAAGATTATGCTGTTTATGCAATAATTTGTGAACATGTACAGAGTTTTATATAAATTTAAACCAATTTTTAAAACAAAACTGAACACAACCACCATAAAATGGAATCAAAGGAAAGTTAATTTATGAGATGAAGAGGTCAACAGAATACATCCTACAGTGCTGGAGACACTTGGGAGAGTCTTTTCAATTGATGAAGAGTGATCTTAACTGAAGAATATTATCCTGGTTTTACAGCAGTTCCCTGTTTACAACAGAACAGATTGTGCCCTGTCTCATGTGCAGCTGAAGGACAGTGGATTCTGATTAGAAAGAAGGCCGCCTAGAAACCAGTGGGCAGCTCTTTGGATCTTATGCACGAACTTAGACCGTTTGAATCTGTTTTTCGCTTAAATCAAAGTGCTTTGATCAAATGTGTAATCTGCCATATCTTTACATATTTGTTGTAGCAATTTGTATTAAAAGAATCACAAGTGCAAATAAAAAGTCATTTATCATTTGTTTAACTAAACTGTCTTGGTTTAGTTTACAGTTCTTAAAAAGTTCTTAATTAAAATATTGAAAAATGCAATTGACAAACGTATGGCTTACAAAGTTATTTTTGATAGTCTTACATTACTTGAATTATTCAAAATAACAGTATATTTTAAATTAAGAAAGGTAAACTATATTATTTGTTTGGTATGTTTAAGGCTGAGTAACAAATAATGCTCTTGTTGATGATTTGAAAACTTTCAGGCAAAATTCAACTTAATATTTTTCCTTTCCCTAGCAATTTTTCCAGTGTCAACTCTTAGTTGCTAGTAATTTTTTCATTTTAAAATGAAGTAACTCACCACTTTTGAGCATATGATGGAGAATGGAAAAGTAGTCAGACAGCTTTAACTGATGTTGTCGAGACCTCCAGTTATCAGGAATACATTTTTTTACTGCCTTAACCTGTAGTGCGTAGAATATGCATCAATTTCTTGAAGGGGATTCATGTTTTTTATAAGAATTTTCATGTAACTATTGCAATTGTGGTCAAAAAGGAACATTTTCTGCTTGAAACTGTGTTGATTTAAATGACGTGTGATCTGTCACCGTTTTCAGGCACTGTGTGATCTCGAGGAAACTGGCAGGCCGCTCTGTAACTGTTAATAGTGCATGCTTGGCCATGTACACTGTAAATAGCCTTTACCAAACATGTTTGACAAAGGACCATAATTAACATCACTTAGTGAATTGTGATAAAGAAAAAAGCCATGATATTGATGTGAGTGGCTTGTTTTCGTGTGGCGCCGGGAATGAACCTGTTTAAACGCTATAACCAATGGTACTGATCCATCCATCAAATACTGTCTTTATATTTAACTGTAGTTTAATAGTATTTTCAGCTAGGAAAGCTACCAGATGTGAAATGGTTTAGTCCTGCTGAAGACTGTCCTTGTTAACAGACAGACAGCTTTCCTCACGAGCGATTAACAACTTCTTTATCAGGTGTCAACATCTGTGTCAGGAACATGGCGGCGTGTTTACATGTCTTCAGAGTTTTGTTTGAATGGGGTTTCTAAACTAATTGACTTGTTTAAATAAATTCAGAAATGGATAGCACTGTTTTATTTGCCTTCACCATTGGGGTAAATAATAGCTGAAATGCCAGGAATGGAGCCTTCAGGTGGCTCTGTGAGCTTCACATTCCCTCAGGGGTCTGCCACATTGTGTCAAAAGGGGAATTTGTTATTACAGAGTGTGCCAAAAGGTCAGCACTCAGAAGTTTTGTTGAACTCTCTCAACTCTACCTCAGCGTTCCTTTTCCTTATAATTCTTTGGGCTAGGTCAAACATGAAACTTTATTTCTTGTTTCAGTATCTCTGGATTCAATCACTTCCTGTAGGAAGCGGCACCTACCCCAGGTAGACACAGTACTGCCTACCCCAGGTAGACACAGTACTGTCTTTGTGAGGAGAAATGTGTCATGGGAGTTGACAAAGCACAGTATACACTGGGTGGGTCAGTGTGGAGATGGCCTCTGTGCCTTCCCGCTCTATGGCACACAAGCCAGGCCATTTTGTTTTTCAGAAGGAGGCAGCTATACAAGTCTAAATTAACTCAGTTCCCTTAAGAGTGTTCATTGTTCATGGCCTCTTTATGTGGCAGGACTGTGATTTCTTGTCACTGAAGAGAGGAACTGGTTTCTGTCATCAACTCAGAAACCTGGGTGATGGTGATTAGAGAGTGGGAATAAAGAGGACCCTGTTGTTTGTGCTAGCTGGCTGGGGTGAGGGTCTCTGATGCCACCTGCCTCCCTGCCGTGGGCTCTCTGAAGAAAAAAAAAAGCCTTTCTGTTGTGGAGCAGTGTGTGGCCACGCCAGGGTTCTCCAACTGCATCCTCCCCGTATGCCATAAATTGAGAAACAAACAGTTGAGAGAGTCCAAAAAGAAAGTATTTAAAGAAAATAACATTAGTGTAATTTACCAGGTTTAATTTGTGCATGTATTTTATTGGGGAGGGGAGGTCAGAATAATTTATCCAAATCTAATGGCATTATTTCATAGGCTAATCCAGTTTGTATTTGAGTTAAAGATCCCAGAGGGTGGTAATTAATTGCAGAGTTTAGTTTTTCTTAATTAAAAGCAGTCCTCTATTAATATAGTGTGAAATATCAAAATTTAGGATTTAGGTTCTAAGGTGTCTAATGGCTATCTTAAGGTTTTCCTGTAAACTCATTGCACATACTGGAATTGGAATTGCTTTCAAAAGATTTGGGGAATGAAAATAATGTCATGTGTAAGATGCACTGAGTGTTGTAAATAAAACAGACCATTTTTGTTTTGTTTAAATTGCTTGTTACAGTCTCTGTGGGAAGGGACTTTGTCCTTTTGTATTGTGGCCTAGTAAGGTATCAGTCCTTTTGTTCATGTGTTTTGTTTTTCCTTTTTGTTAAGACCATGTTTTCAGGCTTCGCTACCAAGGAGTCAAATGAGCAGTTGCAGCCTGGCACACACCTTGAATCCTTTCCCAGTACTCGAGAGGCAGAGGCAGGAGGATTTCTGTGCATTCGAGACCAGCCTGGTCTACAGTAGTTAGTTCCAGGACAGTCTCCAAAGCCATAGAGAAACCGGTGAGCCCCAGGTTTACTGGGACCCTGCCTTTAAAAAGTGTATGGAATTATCCAGGAGCACACCCACTGTTGATGTCTGGCTTGCACACGAGCATGCATGCACCAACATAAATATAAATTAATTACCCACAAAGGGTCTGGGAGGCAGCCCAAGTGTAGCTCGTGTGACAGTTGGGGACCCCGTGTTACTTTCTATTGGCCGAAGACAGCAGCTCTCACTATACACTTCGGATCGGCACCTGAGCCACATGGAAAAAAGCATTTCCCAGACAATGTTCATAGAGATTGTACTGGAGACTTATCTTACAGAAGTTGCTTGGTCCCATCAGCCACACAGAATGAGGTGGCAGTGGCAGGGAAGAATTTTTGTCTGTACCGCTATACCCAGCCCAATTTTCTACTTAGCAAGCTCTGAAGAATTTTTGTCACCCAGTGACAGATTTGAGGCTGGAGGAGGGGGGGGGGGGTTGGCTGAGGTAAGAGTGTTTACTGCACTAGGTCCTGGTCCCCAGCACCTTGGTATAAAAAGCCAGGCATGGCCACATGCCTGTTTGTAACCCCAGACTGTGCGTGGCTGACATACAGCAGGATCACGGGGCTTGCTGAAGGCCCCTCTGCACCATGTGTGCATGCCACCACACTAAATGACTGGTTGAAACTCCCAAGACAGGCTGAAACAGTTACCACCCACTGCAAGTGTAGATTATAAATTACAACATGCCTAGCCATGCAGAATCATTAAAAATTTAACACCACTACTGGCCAGGTGGTGGCCGTGGTGCAGGAGGCCAGCCTGGTCTATAGAGTGAGTTCCAGCTCCACAGCAGCTCATTTCATGAGGCACCGGTTCATAGTATACCAAACACTCGTTCGCCCCATGCAAAGAATAAACTCCAAGTGGGTCGTAGATCCACTGTAAACTAAATTAAAAAAAAAAAATCCATGAAAGTACAGCTCCAGGGAAATAACCACCCTCAAACCTGACAGCCCCAACTCCAACCCCAAATCCACATGTCAAGTACATATCCACACACGGAAATAATACTGAAAAAAAGGTGTGTGTAGCTTCAAGTAAACGTTGGTGTGTGTGAGTGTTTGGCTACATCATGTATGTGTGCATACCACCACGTGCATGCCTGGTCAGAAGAGGGCATCAGATGCTCCGAACTGGAGTTTCAGATGGTTGTGAGCTGCCAGGTGGGTGCTGGGAACTGAATCCTGATCCTCTACTAAAGCAACAAAGGTTCCTAACCACCGAGCCACCTCGGCAGCCCCCAACAAAAAAAAAAAAAAAAAAAAAATAAAAAAAAAGGAAAAGCCAGATTGGGTGGCCCAAGCCTGTTTGTGAAGTACAAACACTGGGTCAGGAGTTGAAGGTCATCTTTGACATACAGAGAATCAGGCCAACATGAGGTCCTGACTGAGAACAAAAATGAAGGAAGAAAATGTAAATTCCTACATCGTATGGGTATAAGGAAATCGTTTCTGTGACCCAAAATCCAAATATAACTTTTTCTTTTAAAGAAAGATTTATGTATCATATATACAGTGTTCTATATGCCTGCATGCCAGAAGAGAGCTCTGGACTCTGGGAGCTGGGAATTGAACTTGAGACCTCTGGAAAGAGGAGCCAGTGCTTTTGACCTCTGAGCCTGCTCTCCAGCTCTTCCCAAATATAACTTTTAGAAGACAGATACAACCTCACTACAGAAAAATTAAAATAAAATGTGCCATGACCAAACAAAATAAAAGAAGCACTGTAAACAATGCCTGGGACAGACTTTACTGAACCAATGTCCCTGGAGTCAAAACAGGCAGCATGGAGTTGGAATTTAGCTCAGTGATAAAGTGCTTGCTGGCCTGGCTGGTGTTCTCTTATCCCCTCCACCACACAACCACAGGAGGGGCAAGGAGGGGTCAGTAAAAGAAAAAAAAAAAA